CCACACCAAATACACACACACAAACACACACAAACACACACACACACACACACTTTAAAGATTTTAGTTTTATTCCACAATCTACATCCTTTTCTTATGTCAAAAGTAAAGAAAGAAAAGCAGGACTCACAATCACACCAGAGTTCTTTAATGTCTTCTAGAGCCAGAAGATGGATGTTCACAATACAAAGTCAGAAAGGCTTTAGCCATTTGAATGAAACATAAAGGGTTATTGGTGTAGTGTGTATAGATGCATGTGTATGCACACATGCACATATCTACTCCATATACACACAAGCACATACAAAAGGCTACCAGGAATAATAACTGAGACAGTAGGAGAGAAGGGTCACAGAAGCTGCCTATTGAGTAAAGTTATGAAAGATGAAATTGTAATAATGTCACAATCATTAAGCTTTGTGATATATTAGTCTTACTGAAGAGAGTAAGTTGGACAACAAAGCTACCCCTCCTTGTGTTGTCTGTTGTACCCAGAAAAGTAGAGGATAATGCCTCAGGTGTCACATACAGGGGAGGATCTAGTTACAAAGAAGTCATCCTCAAGTCAAAAACATCAGTCTGCTCTGTTCTGATACTAGCAATGCTCTTAGACAGCTTCAAAAGCAGTAAGAATTGTGTTTGTCAAGAGTGAATGGGGTAAATTGAAAGATCTAGAACACCCAAGCAGATGGCTCAGGGAGCATTATCTTCATGATAATTTACATCCAGGTTATATGATTTATTTCTCTATATTTATCCTTACATCCACTTGCAGGAATAGGTGATAGCCACATCAGTTAATATCTCTTCCAGTCCCTAGCTTGTCATATGATCCGAGTCACAAACTCCAAAGGTTTCTCTTTGGTCTCTGAGAAGCAATGTGTCCTCTCTTCAGAGCAAGGTACCCAGCTCCTTACATTCATAAGGGTGGTATTGTGAAGTCCTGACAGCTCTCCAGTTTGGATAGATGACCCATTAGCATAGAATTCATTTGGAACTATTGCAATAGCTTTGAGCCATAGAGAATTCTCAACCAATAAAGGATCATTTTTACAAAAAATCATTTACTACCTATGTCTGTATATACCAAAGTGGAGGGGGGGATTTTAGTATATAAGATTAGGTAGTTTATATCTTGGAAAGTAAGACACTGTACAGAAAAATATCAGAAATGTAAGCAGAGGACAACCACTAAAGAAAGTGTGAAAAGCACAAAGCACCCACGGAGGCTACAGCGTGGGGCTCCCAGGAAGCAGGCATGGTGGCGGTCAGGGTGCAGAGACTAATGGTTGAGGTCTCACCCATGCTGGAGGATCTAGTGAATGTGCCTCTTCTCAGGACTTGATTAGAAAGGTTAATCCCACCAGTATTTTAGTTGTCCTATTTTTAAGCAGTTCAATTAGGATGACGAAGGCAACTTCCTGCGCACAGATTACCTGCCGCATCACCTGAATGTGCCTAATTCTAGACCATTACCTCTCCTTTGATGGCTTCCAACTATAGAAAACAACGCTTCCCCTCCCCTCCTGCTTAAATTTCCACTCCTGAGTGTGGCTTAATTATAACTGACCTTAATTTCTTCTGCGACTCGATACATCTCTGATCTCACTCCATTAGCTCAGCTTCATGGTCCGCATCTTCACATCTGTATCACGGTAAGTGATTTTTTTTTTTTTTCTGAAACTGTTCTCCCTCGTGAATGGCTTTCTCCTGCCTTCTTAAATACGGCCATCAGACCTATGTGCCAACTTTGTTTAATGGAGAGCTGAGAGTTCTTGAGCACAAACCAGCCTGGTAAAGCTTATCATATTTCAATGAACTCATGGTCCTGAACAATGCAAACCTCAGTTAGAGGACGGCGTGTCCACCTCAAAGAGAGTGGCCCTCATATCATAACACTGCTATATGTGAAAGAGCCCCAGAGAACCCCTGGAGTGCTGCGTTATTAGTAAGACTGGGGGCATCATCTCCTGTTGGGGCTATTTGCACAGCACAGCACCTGTCCTGAGCATAAACGAGAGCCCATTTCCTAGCAATATCCCTCCTGGGGACCATGAACAACTAAGCTTTGCTAAGGTCCTGAAATGGGAGAAAGAAAACAAACTTAACCTCTGGGCCATGTTCAGAAAAGGAGGGCAGTGCTTGGCTCGGCACTCATTATAGGCCATTAGGAGACAGTACCCTGCACCTTAAACTATGGACAGGATGTTCGTGGGAGGAATCTATGGTGAGAAGGGCTGGATAATTAGGGTGTCTGGATGCAGTGCCAACGGCTGTGATTTTCAAATCAGGATTCCAATGCTTCTCTTCATTTTGGTGGTTTTTAATAAAAATAATGCTGACAGCATTTTCCATACTTTTGACCCAATGTTCCAGGGAGTACAAATACCACACCTTTTATCCCAGTATTATTTAGGGCAATTAGTACTCTTATTAAATTAGATATGATGCAAATGCTCTGTATTTATTCCCTCTTTTGACAACCATTCACCGCTCTTACAAACGCTATACACTCTTAAAGCCCAGCTCAGATTTTCTTTATTAAATTATCCATGACCCCATCCTTGAAGAACTCACCATTCTCTTCTATATTACATACTCCTTGTGCTTATAGAAAGCAGTTTAAAGCATGAAGCCTTTGTACGTTTGCGATTTTATGTCTTAAAGGAGCCACATTTATGTTAAATAGATGTGCCAACTGAATACTGGATACAGCAATGAAATGAGTATATAGCTCAGTGGGTGGATGGAAGGATGGGTGGACAGCTGGATGGAAGGATGAATAATGGACAGCTGGGTGGAAGGATGGGTGGACAACTGGATGGAAGGATGAATAATGGACAGCTGGATGGAAGGATGAATGGACAGCTGGATGGAAGGATGGGTGGACAACTGGATGGAAAGATGAATGGACAGCTGGACAGAAGGATGGGTGGACAGTTGGATAAATATCCCTTAAAGTATGAAAGTATTTTTTCCCAATCAAAGGGAAAAAATGACCAATAGGAATATTTTGAGAGTCAAGAGTCACTGATCAGAGTGACCCAGCCTCGCAGGGAATGTGGAAAGGGATGTGAAAGTATCAGCTCAATAAAAATATGACTTTTGACAAATCATCCAATGAATCAAATAAGAGATAGAAAATGTCGTCCACCAAAAATCTCTTGCTT